AAAAAACAAACAAACATTTCAAATAAAATCTGTTTAAAAAACATAAACATAATATTAAAAAATTTTCACCGAACGCCCCCTTTCGCCAGAATTTAAAAAACAAAAACCGGAAATAGTTGGTACAAAAAAAAATTTTTCCAACTACAAAAATGTATGTTTTGTGTTTTTCTAAAACATAAAGAAATACCAAAAATCATAAAGGAAACGATTTCAAAAAAAAAAAAAGAAAGATACGAAACGTTAAAAAAAATAAACATAAACATAAACATAAAAATGTTTTTTAAAAAAAAAAAAAATCAAAGCAATCAATTTTCATAACAAAAAAAAAAAAAAGAAAAAAAATTTCCCATAATGTTTTCAGTCTTAATGACAACTCAACAACAACAACAACAAATAACTCTTAAATTTTTTTTTTTTTTACGTAATCATAATTTTTTATTAGCAACCGTCCGTTTAAACTTTAAATAATTATTATTATTATGATGATGATAATAATAATAATAATAATAATAATAATAATGATAATTACGAAGAAAGAAAGAAAAAAAACCTCGTAACGTTAAAAAAAAAAAAAAAAAAATCCGACGCTTCGGAAACAACAACGTAACCATCATTATAAAAAATTAAAAATAGCGCACGATTCCAGGATTCTTACCTACCACCCTCCCCATTCTCCTATTCCGGATTTCTAAAATTTTTTTTATTTTTCTTCCCCATCAATCCCAACGATCGACCGACATCATCATCGTACGTATTCCGACGTGGTAGAAACAAAAACAAAAATTGTTTATTCTTCTTCCACGTAATTTCGCCATTTTGTTATAACCTAAACCCGTTGCCACTACATCAAACTATTCCTTCTACCCCTTTCCCGTTCCTCCCTTCCTTTTCGACCCCCTTTTCCCCTTTCCCCCTTCAAAAAACATAAGTTTTAAAGGGATTTTTCTTACTGCAGTTTTACTAATAATAATAGTAATAATAATAATAATAATAAAATCATTAAGTTCAACGATATATTTATTAAACAAGAGGGATGTTTTTGTAATTTTTCGTTTGGGGGGTGGCAAAGAGGGGAGAGACAGGGGGGCACGAGTCCTACTTAAAAAAAAAATAAAATTTCAAGTCTAATAATGATACTAATAATAATAATAATAATAATAATAATAAATTTTCCGCTTGTTTTTTTTTTTAATTATTATGGCGAAACGTTAACGATGGAAACATTTAAAAAAAATCTCTCCCTCTCTCTCTCTCTCTCTCTTTAACATTTTCTCCGCTCCCGCACGAAACAATTTTTTGGAAAATTTATATAGTTAATTATTAATTAACATACGTTCGACTGTAATAATAATAATAATAATAATAATGATAATGATAATTGCAGAGTCGAATTAAAAAAAAATTACACGGATAACAAAAAAAAAAAAAAATAAAAAAAAATAAAATGGCGAATTTAACGCATAATATTCTCATATCTCACTACCTCTTTTTTTCTCACATGTTGTGTGTCGTCGGTGGTGGTGGTAAGGGGTGGGAGTGGTGAGGAAGGTGGGGGCCTTTACAAGCGTAGAAAAGGTCATTTATTACGAAAAACCGAAAGCAAAAAAAAAAAAATCGTTAAAAAATTAATAAAGTGAAATATGTACGGTTCCCGTCCCTAACCCGAAACGAAAAAAAAAAAAAAAAAATTCATTTGTATTCGATTCGCGCGTACGTATACTGATTAAAAATGTCTTCTGCTACTTACCACCTGATTGTATGGATCCAACGCCGCTCACATACACACCCCTCCCGTATGATCCCTCATGAATTTTTCAATATCCATAATTTTTTTTTAAACTGATATCCGTCACTTTTTAACATTGAAACCATGATGATGATGATGATGAATGCTCTCTGAAATAAAATATTATTATTATTATTATTATTATTATTATTATTATTATTATTATTATTATTATTATTATTATTATTAACGATTTAAAATTTATTTATTTATTTATTTTTTTCCATTCGTTCGAACGGACCGTAACGAAAAAAAAAATAATTTGAATATTTAATTATTTTATACATTAATAATAAAAATAAAAAAAAATATTAATGGCCGTCGTACTGGATAACCGTCATCCGTGTTAATTATTTCGCAACCCCCAACCCCCCTCAATCCCAACCCCCCAATGCCACCGCCACAACATGACCCATGACCTAAATAAAAATAAAGTTTTTTTTTTTAAAAAAGGTAACAGGGAAATTGTAAAAGTGACGTAATTTCGCTCGCTCGTTTATACTCGGAAAATGTCGCGAAAATTCCAAAAATTTTTTTCCTTTCCCTTCCGTTTCCGGTTGTGTGTGCGTGTGTGCATGCGTGCGGGTACGCGTTTAAACTACGAAAGAATTTTTTTTTTTTTTAAAACAAATTATTCTGAAAGATGAATTTTATTAACGGCTACCATTTTGTGTGTGTGTGTGTATGCGCGTTCCCGGATAGTTTTTTTTTCTCCAGAACCATTAATAATTTTTTTTTGGCTGGAGTTGATTACTCATCGTCTTAAACTTTTATGGTACTACGCTAAGCAATTAACCGAACGTGATTCGTTTTCGTATTCGTACATTTGGAAAAGGTAACGGAGAGAAAATTTTTTAAATTATCGAAAATTTACACTCTCGACGTGGATATTCTTCTCCACGTTCGTTCCAGTTTTTTTTCTCCAACATCATGGAGAAAAAGAAAAAAAATTTTCTTTCTTCTTAATGAAAGCAGTAGAGTTAATATTAAAAAAAAAAGAAAAAAATGAAATTTTGAATTTATTAAAAATTTAATGGGAAACTTATGGAAATGGCAAAAGAAAAAAAAAAAAGAAAGAAAACCTTTGGAATAAGATGATGATGATGATGATGATGATGATGATGATGATGAAAAATGTTAAAAAAAAAAAAAGGGGAAACGGAAGTAAAAAGAAACGAGAGAGAGAGAGAGAGAGAGAGAAAAATATATATAAAAATCTTTCCTTTTTTTTTTTCTTTCAATTTTTTCCAGTTGTCACTTTTCTCTCTCTCTCTCTCTCCCCCACCCACCTACACCCCCTACTTCCCCTTTACCACCTCCTCCCACTTTTTTTTAATTAAACAAAAATTTTCGAAACCTTTTTTTACCTTTTTTTGTTATTCCGACTCCATCGAAAATTTATGAGACAAATCATCTTTTCCTTTCTTTCTGTCTTTGTGACAAGTTTTATATATTCCTCGACAGACAGGTATGAGAAAATTTTCCTCGACAGCAGAAAACTACTTAACTTTTTCTAAAAAAAAAAAAAAAAAAAAAAAAAAAAAAACAAATGAAAATATTTTAACGTAATTATTTTTCTTTTTGAGGGGTGGCAGGCATCCCTCCACTAAACTTTTTAAATTTCCTTCTAACAATGGAAGAACACCCTATTAGTAATTCTAGTCCATTACGAATCCATTAAATTATTATTATTATTTTAAATGAACAATTTTCTTCATTTTTTATTAGGGGTATTTCTCTAAATGATAAATAATTGTAATGATAATGATGATAATAACAGTGAACAAAAAAAAAAAAAAAAAAAAAAAAAAAAAATTTAATACGAGGTGTGTGTCATTTAAATACATTTTATTTTTCGTACCTGATTAAAATAAAATTATTATTATTATTATTTCAATAATAATTTCGTCGTCGTAAGGTACGTATTATCTATCACACGTGATCGAGATATAATTTTATATATCGGATGAATAAATATGAATGAAAATTTAATTTACCTGTTTTGTGTGTGTTTCGCTTGCGACGGACATTTTTCAAATGGCATTTCCTCTATTTGAATCCTACGTAGTTTGCATTTGCACGACATCTGTGAACAAAAATATTAACTAAAATTAATATTTTACGAGTTTATAATACATTTTTATTTTAATTGTTATGCCATCTATTGGAAATTTTTAAAACTAAATGCTTTAAAGTGTTTGTTTTAACATTTGATTATTTTTACTTAAAATTGTTTTTCCAAAATTTGAAAGAATAATAAAAAATTAATAATAACTTTTTAAAATTTGTCTGCTTTTCCTCCCCTCCCCCTCCTTCTCCCTTTTCCCTTTAAAAAAAATATAAATTATAATGAATATTAAAAATAATAAATTAATTCGATTAAATTCCTTCTCAAAAAAAAATAAAAATAAAAAAATAAAAATATAATTTTTAATTAATATAATACATTTATAAAAATAATTATTAATTAAGGCCATCATTATTATATTTTAAAATAGTAATTAAAATGGTGCGTCATAAGGCATTTGATAAGTTTTTTTTTTTAAAGCTAAATATCCGATTTACTTTTAAATGCAACACAACACAATACGATTTAATTATTTAAAAAACAAAAAAAAATATAAAAATTTTATTTTTAACTAATAATGATAATTATTTTTTAAAAAAAAAAATTTAAGTAAAATTTTTAAATTATTTTTAAAGACTAGAATTAATTAAAAATTAATTTTAATTTGTCGAGTTTTCCTAGTTTTCGTTTTTTTTTTTTTTTGTTAATTTCAAACATTATTACGATTAATATTTATAAATATATATATATATATATATATATATATATATAAATTTAAATTACATCATGGATTCATTATTAGCATTAAGCAAAAATTATTAAAAAAAATTGCATTAAAAAATAAAAATTTTTATGATTTTGCAAAATACTCTTATTAAATGTCAGGATATATTTATCGATTTGACCGATTGTAAATAAAGATTATGGCAAAAGAAATGTTTGATTCAAATTTTTTAACAAGAACCCCCTTCATTCGATTTTACCTAAGCAAAATAGTTTTTAAACTACTTCAAATAAATAAATAAAAGAACTCATGTAAGTCATATAATAATATTTAGTTGTTTGTTTAAAATATGACTCGATTTCATGTAAATGCATTTAAATATAATACCTAAAAAAATATTATGAATCGATGCAGTTGATTTTTTAATTAGGAACTCTCAGTTTTGCCAATTGTGCTTCTATTTCTTCATCAGTTGGTAGTCTAGACTTTTCCCCAACTCTGCCTCTTACAGCATTTGGAGCTTTAGACATTTCACCAGATATTTCTATTCCGATTTCATCTAAAACTTGAGTAACAACTTTATCCGATTCTTCTTCATCATCTGAAGCATCTAGTATGTCATCTAGGGTGTCATTAACTAAAAAAAAAATATGAGAAATCGAACATAAGCATCAAAATGTCTACTTAATGACTTTTTTTTAAGATAAAAAGCTCACTTATTTCTTCCGTCATTCCCATCTTGGTTGCGGCTTCGTGAAAAGCTTTCATATCATTTGCCAGCCTTTGTGGTTGCATTAGTTTATTTATATTTCCCATGGTTTTCGATGTTGTCGCCATTGCATCAGTCAATGCAACATTTGCTCCCATCATTTTATTTTGAGCAGCTATACCATGAATCTTACTCGTAGCTGCTATGGTCCTATTTTTTTGTTTTCTTAATTGCACCAACTGCTTGGCTAAAATAGCGCAGCCTTCTTTATTACCTTCTTTAGCCATTTTTCTTATTTCCATTTCAATTTTTTTTTCTTCTCTTTCCAATTGATTTCTATCTCTTTCGATTTCTCTGGTTACTTTTCTTAAATCTCGATCATTTGCTCTTTGTTGTTCTAAAAATTAAATAAATTTCGTTAGAAAATGTACAAGATTATTTAAATAAACATATTTTGCATTTAAAAATTTCAAAAGTTTAAGGTTGACATAATAAAAGTTAACCTTTAACGGTAGGAGTCTTTCCGAAAAAATTCATTTTAATTGAGCAACAAGTTTAAAACTGTTTCAAACGAATATTTTTCAATAAAATTTGATTTTTTTTTTTTAGTCAGATACAACACCGAATCCTTAAATTCTGTTCTTTTGCTTTAATTCAATTATTGAGCTTTTAAGCAGTAGCAAAAGTGGCCGTACTAATTGACACTGTCAAAGGAAATTCTAAACGGTAAACATTACGTTAAATGTAAAATTTCATCAATTTAGTATTTTATTTTGTACTTATTGTATAATTATCGTAATACTCTCGTGTGATAGAAAAGAAAATGTCCGTGGAAGAAGACATTGAACTAAAAAACTTAGTCGCGCAAACATTAGAGAATAAAGGAATATTACCGAAAATTAGAGTGCGTATTGCCTATTATTTTTACATGCAGAATTTGTAAACAATTCAATTCATCATGCACTATTACTAATTATTCCTAACGAAAAAAATATCATTAACAGCTTAATCTTAAGAAGAATATTTAAAAATATTATGCTGAAACACAGAAGTTTTAAAAAAATTTAACACATGTATAATTTTTGATTTTAGGCAGAACTCAGGGCCAATGTTTTTTTAGCCTTAGAAGAAAATCCAGATACAAATGAAACGTTACTTAAAAATGAAAAACTATCGACATTTTTAAAAGTACCTGTTGGTGCCTTAGTACTTAACTTAATACGAGAATTTTTAAAATTTTTCGAACTAGATTTTACATTATCCGTATTCGAGCCTGAAACAAAATATAATAACGATTATAATGAAATAACTAGAGATAAAATGATAAATGAATTAAAAATTACAGATCTGAGTAAAAAGTATCCATTACTTGTAGAAGTTATTGAAAAAATTATTAATATTAATAAATCTCCCATTTGCAAAGTCTCAAATATTGATATTGCAAAAGTAAATGATAAATACGATTGTGGAGATCATGGAAATAATACTATTTCTCCTGTCCCACCTCTAAATTCAACTTTTATTAAAAAAAGCGAAATTCAATTGTCGCCTATAAGTCCAGTTGAAAATGAAAGTAGAGAAGATACTAATGATTCTATAAAAGAAGCTATTTCTAACAATTACAGGTATTTGTTGAATTAAATTCATTAATTGAAAGAGAGAGACTGACTTATCAAAAGTACAACAATAACAAAAATTTTCAAAAAAATTCTCAAGTCTTGAATTAAAATTTTTTGCAGTGAGTCAGACAGTTTATCAGAAGGGCCTATAAATTTAAATGATTCTCCAAAAGAAGATTCACCATTACCTACATCACATAAAAGTAATTCTAAAGAATCAAACTTGGGAAATGTCGCACCGAAAGAAACTCTCGAAATAGATTTACTAACTTTTACACCTGTTAAAGATAGTAAATTAAAAGAAAACCATAAAAATAATTCAATATCTAATAATAATGTTGTGACAAAGACTGATGAACAGAAAGACAAACAAAAATCACAATCTGTTTTGGGCGATTTACCACCCCTAACATCAAAATCGGAAGATAAAGGTTTTTCAATGAACGACATAAAAGCCATTATGGATGATTGGTCTGGAAAAGAAAGTACAAAAAACAAAGAAGTATGTTCCTTCTTAGAATCAGCATTTCTTTTTTCATTTACATGACAACCTATTTTAAAATAAAAATTATTATTTTAGTTATCTGCCGATTCAAATTGCAATCCAGAGTCGGAAATGAAATCGTCTGCTCATCTAAAATCAAGTATTATTAGCGAATCTCAAAACGTTTTTCAAAAGTCGGACAACACTGATGCAGATGATTTCGAAGAGGACAGTGGGGATCTTATAAATGGACACTCACAGGTTATAAAATTACAATAATTATAATTAATATTCATTATACATACCTGTTAGAAAATTAATAATTTTTCTTTTCAGGAATCGCCTAAAACCATCGATGAAACCATATCAAAACTCAGCTCAGCTGCAGATTATTTAGAAACTTTGTGAGCATTTTACTACTTGTGCCTTCAATTATCGATTGTTGCCATTATTTTTAAACACCTTTTAATAAAATAAATATGTTTTTACATTTTAAATGATTTCATTTAAATTTTTTTTTAAAAACCATGGCTAAACAAAAATAAAATGTGCTCATAGTTTTTCCCATCGTTAAATTTTTTTAAAAAAATTTTTTATGTTTACAATAGATATTTAATTGTATTGTTTGAAAAATGTATGATGTGCCATTAATTATCATATATATTTATGTATGCAAAAGTTTTAATTAAATTAAGTTTTTCAAATATGGCTTTATGATTAAAATATTTTCTTTCATATTTTTTGCCTTTACAAATCATTATTCAGTTCTCATTTTATAAACTATCGAATCGTATGAAGATAATAAAATTTTAAGATAAAAAAGTTGTTCAATAATTTTCTTGAATAAATTTAAGAAACCTTAAAAAAATACCTAAAATTAAATGAAAGGTATAAAAAGAAATAATTTTCCTTCACTAAATTATAAGCAAATTATTATTTTTCTTAAATATCGAATCATTTTGCGAGTAGACACTGTAATTAAGAAAATGAAAAAAACGAATTGCAAAACAGTGTCATTCATTAAATTAATTATATTTTTCATGTTTATCCCTAAAAATTAAAATTTAAGAAATAATTTAACTGAAATTATATTTTCTAATAATAATAATAATTAAGAAGGTAACAGCTCCCCGATAGTTATCTTAAAAAAATTTTAAGATTAATATAAAAATGCATAATATTATAGCTGTATATTTAATAAAATTAAATAAAATTGTAGGGGAAAAAAATGATAATTTGCCTCCCTAGTCTCATAAATTTAATGACAACTGAATAATTGCTTTAAATAATTATTTGTACCTAGAAAAATTCAATTAAAAAAAAAACACAAAAAAAAAAATTGTTCCAGACTTTACTATATCGATAACTAAATTTTAAATTTTTTTCAACTACATCCTTTGTCTTTCTCTTTGAAGCCTATTTCCATAAGCTTTTGAAACAAGATTCCATGAATCTAAATATCTATCCATACACATGGCTACACATTTCTATAAAAAAAAAAAAAAAAAAAAATTACATACATTTATGCAATAAGTGAAGTATAAGTATTAAATTATTACTTACTTGTTCATAACTATCTAGTGATGTACCGGGTTTATCTATGCACTTTTTAAAACACTTTTCAGTCATTTTCTATAAAAAAAAAAACATAATAATAAACACGAATTACTAAAAATCGAATCAGTACTAATATGAATAAAATCAATTATTAAATATTAACTTACTGTTAATAGCTCTTGTGCATTTACTACAGCTAACTGTTGTTTAACCTGTTCCATCAATTCATCTTTCTGAGACCCTGTTAATTGTCCAGTTCCCAATGCATCCATTTTGAATTAAATAAAAATTTTATTAATAACACAGATTTAAAATGCAATTATACGAGTAAAGCAAAAAATCATTTTTTTTTTTTTTAAAATAGTAAATGAAAAAACGTGTTTTTTCATTGGAACAAAGGAACGCGCATCAATACAGCTCACATTTGCTACGGTTAATGTAGACGCAACGGTCATTTTATCAGAATGACGAAAGTTCTAATGTGTCACAAAATTTAATTTATAATTTTTTTTTTTTTTTTTTAAATTTTGTTTTTTATAAAATTTATTTTACGCCTTTTTTTTCCCCCCTTTTAAATATTGTGATTTGATCGGTGATAGAAAATTTTGAAAATTTGACGATAGAACTTAAATATGGATCTTTCAAAAAATTTTTCGAGTATCTGCAATGAAATAGAATCGGTAATTAAACAATATTTAAACTAATTATTTAAAATAAAATTTTTTTTTTATTACCTTAAGCTATAAAAAATTAGTTTTTCTAACAGAAATATAATATTCTAATCCTTGTACTTTGTTTTCTAAACAAAACTTTAATATTGCAATGAAAATGTGTCTTGATTAACATTGTAATTTTTTTTTTTTAATTCAAAAATTCATTTAAACAATAAATAAATGTTTGAAACTCATTTTATTCTTTTAAAATTTACTCGAGTTTTAAAATTAAACTAAATTTTTTTTTATTTTTTGTTTTTTTTTAATTTATTTCAATTTAATTTGATGAATTTATAAAATTTTTGTTTTTGAACGAGCGCAAAGCGGGATTTTTTTTTTTATTATAATGAAAGTACCCTTCACGCCACTTATTGTGGTGGCAATAATCATCTAATTTGTAAACTAAATAATGGCTACAAATATATCAGATGATTGTTCACCTCCCGTTGATTTTAATTTATCATCAGAAATTGACGAAATAAAAGACAAAAATAATGGTGTTCGTGAAAAGTGTTTACTATGTAATAATTTAAGGACTACATTTTATTGTAAAATATGTGTTGCGAACGGAGATTTTTATAGTTCAACTCTGCAAAATCCAGGTACTTTGTTTTTATTTATCAGTAGTAACCGTTTAATTACATGTAGTTTACTGCGCATTATTTTCAATAATAACGTTTATGTTTTTTTATTTAAAACTCGATTAAATACTGCGTTATTTTAAAATTCATTTCATTAGATAACCATTATTTCAAACGTAATGCCGTCTACCTGTTTAGAATAAAAAAAAAAAAATTGTTTTTTAAATGTTGAATTAAATCATTGTTTTTAAAATTTCCTTTCCTGAAAAAAACAACAACAACAACAAAAAAAATCATAAATATTTATAAAAAATTTAAAATTATAAATTTTAACATAAGAATTAATTGAATTTAACGCACATAATTTTTAATACCAATTATATGATAATATTAGTAAATAAATGTAAGGCCTTGAAAATTTTTTTTATTATCATTTACTTTGATATATTTCCCTAAATTTATTCGCCATTTTAATGATTAATTTTATTAATAATATTTCAGAAAGATATGCTGACAAAAAATTATTGTGGTTTAAATTAAAAAGTGACAAACAAATTTTGTCGAATAAATGTTTAAAAGTACTTGAAAAATATGAAATTAAAACTAAATTGCAATCCGATATAAATCTGTGCAGAGGAAGGATAAAATTATTATTGCAATTAATCAAGAAAAAAAATGAAGTCATTAAAAAAACAAATAAAGAAATTGAAATGGTCAGAGAAAAAAATGCTGCGAGAACTTTGAGATTGCCTAGAAACAAAGAAAGAGTAGAAAAACTTGAATACTACGTAGCCAATAATATGAAAGCTGAAATCAGGCATAGAAGAAACAAAGTTGCCAAGGCGGAAATGGAACTGAGAAAATTGGTTCAAAAAAATGTCAACGACTTAATTAGTTACATTTTTCCCATAAGTAAAATCGATGCCATTTCAAAGAGTACGGAAGAGCTGGAATCTACTGATACCGTCACGGCCCTTGCAGAAGCTACCCGAACATCCTACGTGAGAGGAAAATGGGTGTTTATGGACTCGACGGGTGATCTTCATTACCGTATCGTCGCACCCACATTACCAGGTTCCGGTGATTATTCCGCGTATTCCGATTGGGTCGCCGCAAACAAAAACAATCATCCGGGAAATGAAAAACTAAATGAAAATCAAGCATATAACATTAGTGCTGCGCTTTGCTACACGGCGCAGTTGGTTAACTTGTTAGCCTTTTACTTGGACGTTCTTTTGCCCAATAGATTAACCTACTCCGATTTTTACAGCACCGATATAAGCGATAGTAAATTTTATAAAAAAATATCAAAGTTAAACATAAACATCCTTTATTTATGCTTTTCCCAAGGGATCGACACTTCTCTCCTCAATCCCAAACACACGTTGTGCAATCTTTTACATTTGGTGAATCATTCGAACCTCGGAAGAACGGAACCCTTTGAAATAGATTCGACTTTGGTTTTTTCGCTGGAGAATTTCAGCGCGGATTTAAAATCGATTGACGATTGTTGTTCCGAAGATGAAGATAACGACGTGCCATCAGAATGGGAAGCCATACCTTTAGTTCCTTGTCCCGAAAGCAGTCCGGGTCCGATTGTTTTTTCAACTCAACAAATGCCAAGCATGCAAGCAACGACGAGTATGGCCGGCGGTTTGGTCACGAGCCTTGCATCCATGTGGAGAGGCTGGACTGGAAATCGATAATAATATTAATTTTATTTTTATTTATGTACCATATATATTTTAAATTAGAAAACTTCAAAAAAAAAAAAAAACAATTATTTTTTGTAATTTAATATTAAAAAAAAAAAAATTTTTTTTCATCTAGTCATATTAAGTTTATTATTATTATTATTATTTTCTACTCTCGAAACCTTTCCATTACCCACTCCCCCTTCCCCCCGTTTTTCACATGATTTAATGAGAATTTTTTTTTTTTTTTTTATTTATTTTAGACGAATAATAAAGGGGATAAAGAAGAAACGAAAAAATTATTTACGAGTCAGGAAAATATCTATAAAAAATTATCACAAGTTTTTTTTTCACAATCACCTCGTGTATCTTCTTCGGATACTCAAAGCGATTTAGATGAAATCCTAAAAATTAAAAAAACTGGTAAAATATTAATAATGATAATGATAATAATAATAATTACCTTTAATTTCTTATTTCTAAGAAAATTTTTTTTCCAAAAAAAAAATAATTCAAGATCCCTCGGATGATTTACCATCGACATCTTGGAAATTGAATAAGGGATATTTTTTAAGACCCCAAAAAAAAACGACGAGGAGACGACGACGACGACAAAAATCGATAAAACGTTTTGAGAAAAAAAAAAAAAAATTAATCGATAATAACGATATCGATTCGATATCATCCTCGTTAGAATCGATATCGTTATTGAGAGAATGCTATGAAAAAAATGATTTTCCAATATTAACGGAAACATGCATGAATTCACAAATAGAAATTATTAAAATGAATAGCCATGATGATGATGATGATGATGATGATGATGATGATTGGTGTTTAAAATTAAACACAAATTCATCAATTTCAGAAAGTGATGATGATAATGATGATGATGAAAGTAAAGAAATGATGATAATAATAAAAAAAAAAAGTTTAGAAAAATCAACACAAACTGATTTTTCAATATTTTCCAACAACAACAACAACAAAACAACAACAAAATTACAAAATTATATGAAACATAATATTGATTTCGTCGGTTCCATCGTAAATTTAAAATCGATAATTAAAACCAAACCGGAAGTTGTTAAAAATGATTTGATTAAAATTTTCGATAGAAATATATCCAAGGATCGTAAATTATGCTCCGTGTCAAGTTTATCGGAAGAAGAAGGTGGAGGTGGTGGAGGAGGAGGGGGAGGAGGTGAAAAAAATTTTTATTCGAACGAATCGAAATCGAGTTTGGGGACGATGAAAATCCCCGGGGATACACTCGGGTACATAATAAGGGATTCGAACGTCGACGTCGTGTTTTTAGACACGATTAAATCCCTTTTGTCATGTTTTGAAACGGGTTTGAAAACGGATATGGATAACATATCAAACTATTGGAAAAATTCAATTTACGAATTAGGAGCGGAAGTGTTAAATAATGCTTTCGATATGGAACCTAATTTAGAAAAAATTATAACAACATTTTTAGAAAAAATTATCGATTCGATATTAAATGATGATGATGATTATGAGTCAAAGGTTGGTACCACTGAATCCACTTAATTAATTAATTTTTTGGAAAACTTCAATTGATCGAATTTTTTTTCCAGAATTTCCATAAAGAATCAAAAGCGGAATTTATCGTTTTATTTTGCCAGAGGAAAATTTTCCAAAGAAACGTCATCAATCACGTGATAACTAAAATAAAAAATATAAAAAAAATGAAAATCTCATCGGATTTAAATGATAAATTGAAATTCGGACGCTACGTTAAAAATTCTTATTACTTGTTGGAAATGATAAAAAAATTATTACTCGTTTATAAATTTCGTTACGGCGATGAAAAATTACAAATGGCGTCCAATGATAACGATAGTAAATTGGAAAATTATAACGTTTTGAATATTTGGAAAAAAAAATGGAATCCCGGCGAAGGGATTCAAAGTTATGATTATTCGTTAAATAATTCGAATGTTTCCGAGTCTTTCGATGAGAATAAATGGTGCGACGATTTAGACGACATTTTAATTTTTTCCATCGATTATTTTCCGATACTATCGAAATCTCTCGAACAATGTTCAGAACTTGCTAAAGATATTGCGTCATTTCCCATACGACGTCACGAATTTCATGATTTTCCGAATGTGATGATGGATAATTAAATTTTCAACTAAACCGGAAACCGGAAATCGGAATAATTTCTGCGATCGATTACTTCCTGCAAAATAAAAAAATAAAAAAAAATTAAAAAATTAATTCTCATCGTCACACTCACTACGATTCCCCCTCTCTCCTTACTTCCCCCGAAAAAACCTTTTCCTCACCTTTTTTTTTTTTTTTTTCCTTCTCCAAATATTCAACGACCTTTTTCATGACGTCACCAAAAAATGAAATAAATTGTCGATAATAACGAATAACGTACGAAATTGTATTATTAAGAGATCGTGAGCGGATTTACAGAAGAGAGAGAGAGAGAGAGAGAAAAAACAAAAAGAGAGAGAAAAACAATCAAAACGTGAACTTTGACATACGCGAAAGCAATGATAACATAATAATAATAATAATAAAACATATAAAAAATATTCTTATATATATAAAAAATGTAAATATCTAACGATTATTATTATTATTATTATTTTCATTAACATTATCCGCGGGTTTTAGTGATAAAAAAATTCATTATTATTATTATTATTATTATTTAAATTTAATTAAATTATGTTAATTAATTGCAAATATATATATATATATATATATATATATATAAATGTATACATACACGCGCATACCACACGGATAATTATCACGTGCACAACGCGTGAGGTACGTATACGCACACACACACACACACACATATATATATATATATATATATATATATATATATATATATATATATATATATATATATATATATATATATATATATATACGTAATAATAATAATGATAATAATAATAATATTTTGTACAAATTTCGTTCTAACGATTCGTTTCAATAAATTATATAAATTACAAATAACATATTTAATAAATTTTATTTTTTTTTCCTTTTTTTTTTTCTGTACCTCTCCTATAAAACGCCGAGTTGGAAAAATCGATTTTCTCTTTACGTTTTCCTATCGCTAACAACAAAAAGAGAGACAGACAAAGAGAGAGAGAGAGAAAAATTAAAAAAAATTTCATTCGCGATGTGTACTCCGCACATACACACAATTCACGTCGTGATTTTTTTTTTTTTTTTTTATACATCCGACGTTACCGACATAAAATAATCCGAAAGTAATTTATTATTATTATTATTATTATTTACATTCATCACATATCACGTAAATGAGAGAAAGACAGAAAGAGAAAGAGAGAGAAGAAATTAAAAAAAAAAAAAAATCATTTTTCTATCTCACTATTATTTTTTTTTTTCATCCCCCCTCGTCGTCATCATCATCATCACAATGATTCTCATTATTATTATCACTATTACTATTATTATTATTATTTATTTATTTTGTTTCCGTTTTTGTAAACACGTGTGTATGCGCGTGTATATATATATATAAACTTATTTACATTAAATTAAATTTTTTTTTATACATTTAATAATCTATGCCTATTAATTTTTTTTTTGTTCAAACGATGATTATTAATTATTTTACATGGGTATGATAATACAATCGATTGCACCTTTCATCAAATAGTAATAATAATAATAATAATAATAATAATAATAATAATAATAATAATAATAATAATATTCAATTTACGTCATCATCATTACGAAAAAAAATTTCGTTTTTTAATACAAACGACTCGCTCTCTCTCTCTCTCTCTCCCCAACTTCGACGTTTTTTATTTTTTCCTTCCTCTTATTATTATTATTATTATTATTATTTAATTATTTTCAAAAGCGTACCCTATAAAAAAATAATAATAATTTCTATTTAATAAATTTAAATTTTTTTATCGTAAAATAAAAATAATTAATAATAATAATAATAATAATAATACACGTTTAAAAATAAAATAAAAAATATAATAATAATAATAAAACGATCACTTATAATTAATAACTCACTCGTTTAATAATACTATAAATAAACGGTTATAAGACGCTAATTTCATTTATTATTATTATTATTATTATTATTATCATTTTCATTACTATTATTATTATTATTATTTTAAAAACGGATACGAAAAAAAAAAAAAAAAAAAAAAAAAAAAAAACGAGAAATTAAATCGAAATCGTTGTGACTTTGTTTGATTGACTTCCCGACGATGCTAAAAATTTCATCGACGAAGAAATAATAATAATAATAATAACTAATAATAATAATAATAATAATAATAATAATAGTTAATTGTACCGGTTACAACAAACGTCAATAACTCGTTTCATAAAAAAAAAAAAAAAAATTAAAGTATTTTTATAATCTAATCAACAAAATTAAAAAAAAAAAAAAAAAAAAAAAAAAAAAAAAATAATAATAATAATAATAAAAAATAGGTTTTTAATAAATAAAATTAACTAAACAAATATTTTTAAAAAATACTAAAACAATATAAAATAAACCTTTCCCTGCGTTGTATATAAAAAAAAAAAAAAAAAAAAAAAGTATAACGGCCTTTTTCTTTGTTTTCCTCCGTACTACATTTTAATATTTATTTATTTATATATTTATATATAAATATATAAATCTATGTATTAATAAATATAAACGTTTTGTCTTACGATTGACGACATTTTTTTTTTTTTTTTTTTTTTAAAGTTACGAAACAAAAACGATTAATAATAATAATAATAATAACGATTAAATAAAGTGTTAGAATTTTACTGCGGTTATTTGAAAATAATAATAATAATAATAATAATAATAATAGCGATAATAACCATATTTTTTTTTTTTAAACCTGGAATGAAACCCCCTACTAATAATAATAATAATAAATAAATAAATAAAAAAAAAACTGTTGTTACTCGTGTGTCAGC